GGGTGGGTATGTAAGCTAGGCCGGTGACATCTTAGGTACCACTGCTTAGAAGGAGCTGACACCTTTGTAATTATATAAAAAAAGATAAAATGGTAAGATGGCTTACAGGGTAATTGCTTCTGACTCCAAGCCTAATCTCAGGACCCCAATACAAAAATTAAAATAAGACTTTAAAATTAATAAAAATTTCTGGATTAAAATCTGTCAGACTCAGAGAAGGCATGGCCTGGTTTTATGGCTCATCATAGGAACTGAAAGTTCTTTCTTACACATGGATGGTAATCCAAGCGGGGTGAGTGATGTTTGCTGACAGCACATGCGCTGGGGATTTCTGCCCTCCACTATAATTTCAATCATGATTTTCATCCCTTAGATGTATTTACCTCTATTTTTAAAGAGGAGGGGTAACTTTAAAATTAGTATAGTAATAAGAGCAGCTTTAAAGCATGAATATTTAATAAATAAAGTACAAGAAGATCATTTGTTTATTTACTGATTTACTGTACCCAGGGCCTTTGACATGTAGGTCAGTGCTCTCCCACTCTGGGATATTCACAGTTCCCTTCTATTTCTTTTAATCTGCCACCGTGTTTTGTTTTGTTTTTTTCCTTAAACTGTGGCCTCCAGACCAGAGTGTAGCATCATTGGAGAATTTCCCAGAACTGTCAATTCTTGAGTCCACCACATGCAAGGTTTTCATTAAATTCTATTTCACTTAAACATTCCCCCTATTCTGCTTTAGAATTGTCTCTAACTCTTTCCCGTTACACACACACACAAGCTACAGCATTTTCAAACTGGTCTTTTCTTCCACTGTTTCAAACATCAGCCCATTGGTCTGTTCATTTATCCCACCACTAATAATGTTCAGAATGCTTCCCATGCACAAGACATTGTGTTAGATCATAAGTACACTAATGAATGAGATTCAGAAGGGAATGAAATGTTATTGCACTTGGGGAATCCCATGTTAAAAATATGAGCTGAATTAATTCCTGTCCCAAACCCATGAAGACAGCATGGCATGGTGCTGAGTTGGGAAAGAACTGGAGTAGTCGGGGAAAGCATCTGATGTGGGGGGATGAAGGGTTTGATCCCATGGCCTGAAGGGTGAGTGGGAGCCAGTGTTTCAAACAGTTGCAAAGGGCAGAGGGAATCATAATGACGGCTTAACGTTTGCTGAGTTCTTGCTGTTTGGCAGCTGTGATTTGGAGACATTCACATTCATGTTCAGCACCCTGACAGCAGCTCCATAAGGCAGATATAGTCAATGGTCCAGTTTTATATTATGTAAGCCAGCTGAGTCAGGCAAACAGGCTCGGTAATGTAACAAAGGTCACACCGTCTCCAAGATTCCATGCGAGGTGCAATAAGAGAGATATGCAGACTGTAATTACCAGAGGGAAAACTCTGGCATTATCTTCGTACACCAAGATATTTCATATTCTCCTTAGACATCAAATGGGCATTGCAGATCCAGTTTTGAAACTGTGGGGGAACCTGCTAATTAAGGTAGAAGTCTGTCATGACCAGATAGCTTCTCTGAGCTCCATGCAAAATGGAGGCCCTTTCCCAGCAGGGCTTGCTCCTCTCTCACCTTGTCTGGGGAGCCTGAAACCTCACACTCTCTATTTGGGGAAGGTCAAGTAGTCCTTAGTAGACCTACAAGTTCAACTTCATCTTCCCCCAAGCCCCCCAGAACCTGCCCAGGCAGTACCTGGGATTCCTAGAATGCTTCTCCATGCAAATGAGGCGTTCATAGAACTTTTAAACTCTAGTCAATGAACTTCATTTACCCTGAAAACTCTTTCCTATTCCTCAAGGTCCACATATACCCATGGTTCACCCCAAATAAAGTATACGCATACAAACCCAGAATAAAAGTATGGGCACAAGCTAAGATCGTCGAAGAGAGCTGTTCTATTGACGGTCATCCGAGAAGGCCTTCCTCTAAAAGAGATGTAACACTAAGATCCTCAGAGAAGGCCTTCTCTCCCATCCACACCCCCCACCCCCAACCCCTCTGAAATTCCCAGAAGCGTCTGGATACCCTGAAGGGAGGTTTTTATATCACATGGTGTGTATTTATGTGTGTGTGTTTGTGTGTTTCTTTTAAAATTACAATTTTAGTTAACATACAAAGAAATTGTGATGTTTTCGTACACAAATATCTCTTTATATACTTTGTTCTTATTCAGGTTTTGCTACCCTTACCCGTCTGACCTCTTCTTGTGCTGACCCCTTACCCTGCATTAACTACATTCCACTACCCACTCTTGTTCTCCCCCTACACACTGATCTTCGTCTCTTAGTTCCTATCTCCTAACATAGCATATGTACATGTTCATAGATATACTCAGGTATTAGATTTTGCACATAAGAGAAAACGAGTCATTTATTTTTCCAAGTCTGTGTTATTCTGCATGATATCCAGTGCTTTAAAATGACTTATCTATTTTATGTGTATGTATATTTACTTACATGCGTGTCTATGTGTTATATGGATATCTGGTGCCAGAAGAGGATGTTGAATCTGCCTGGAATTGAAGTCATGGGTGGTTGTGAGTGCTGCAAACCAAACCCAGGCCCTCTTCAAGAATAAGAAGTTCTCTTAACTGCCGAGCCACCTTACCAATTCCGGTGACCTCCAGTTGTATTCCTTTTCCAGTGAATTCCATTTCAATCCTCTTTATACCTGAATAAAATTCCACTGTGTATATGTACCTCATTTCCTTTATTCTAGGAATAACCACCTAGGCTGTTTCTGTATCTTGACCACTGTAAACAGAGCAACAACAAACATGGTCATATGAGTATCTCTGTGGTGTTCTGGCTTAGATTTCCTTGGGAATGTACTCAGAAGTCACATAGCTGTACCACATGGTAGTTTCTGTTTTAGTTTCATCAAGACTTTCTATTCTGATCTCTGTAGTGTCTGCACCAGTACACTGTCCCATCAGCGCTGTCTAAGAGCTCTGCTTCCTCTATATACATCGCAAGATTTGTTCTCCTTTGCTTGTCTGATAATATCCATTCTTACCGGAATGAGATAGAATCTGAAAGGTGTGTGTGTGTGTGTGTGTGTGTGTCTGCCATATGATGATCTCCAGAACTTAAAAAAGAACAGTTTATTTTTAGTGTTTGAGTGGTTTACTTGCATGTGTGTATGTGCACCATGGCATGCAGTACCTATGGAGGCCAAAAAAGGGCAGCAGGATCCCTGGACCATTCTGTACATCTGCTTGTGGAGGATGGTGGATGTCTTTTGTGATTGCTTTTTCTGCCTTAATTTTTGAGACAGGGTATCTCAGCTAACCTGGAGCTCACTGATTTGGCTTGGCTGGCTGACCTGAAAGCCCCAGGGACCCTCCATCTCTGCTTTTCTAGTGGTGACATTCAATTCCACTTAGCTTTTTCCACAGATGCTGGAGATCTGAACGCAGGTCCCTATGTTTGCATGACAAGTCTTTACCAACTGAGCCATCTCCCAAGTACTTAAGAAAACGATGCTTACATTCCCCAATGGCTAAGCATGTCCAGCACTTTTTTTTGGAATGTTTACTTTACAAGTCTGTTTTATTTCCTGTTGTACTGCTATTTCTTTAAGCACAGTGAGGATTTTGACAAGGAAGAATGAGGCGAGAAAAAACTGAACCCTTTCCCACACAGGGACCCTCTTAGTCATCCTGTAGCCACAGGACTGTTACAGCTATGTTGGATGCCAGTCCATCTTGTCAGAGAAAAGCAGCAAAATCAATACATCACAGCGGGTCTTTTCTTGTTGGTGAGCCTATCTTGTATTGACTAGCCTGCGAGAATCTACCTTCTGGTCTCTCCAGTGCATCTCTTCTTTAATCTTTAAAACTCTCTTTACAGGTAAAGACAAGATTAAGGTGTCTGAAGATGACTTGAAGAAGCTCCATCTAATTAAGTGGTGTATTCTGGAATCCATCCGTTTGAGAGCCCCTGGTATCATTACTAGAAAGGTTGTGAAGCCAATTAAAATTCTGGTAAGAACTGGTTTTGTTGGAAAATAATGAACTTTCTAGGAAAAGAATGTGTTTTGTTCAGACATTCTCTAGATTGATATGTTTTGATTTCTTCATTTTATTAGAACTGAATATAAATTGTATAAATTTATAAATATACATATATTTGCATATATATATATTTGTCATATACAGCATGCTTTGAAATATGTGCACATTTTATAATGGCTAAATAAAGTCATTAATCTGTATATTGTTTTATACACTCAATCAATTCTTGTATGAAAATATTTGTGCACTCTATCAGCAGTTACTACAATATTTCTAACTTTAGGGACTACATGGTGTCCCATAGCTCTTTAACCTAGTCTGCTGTTGAAAAGGAATTTTGTATTATTTGCCAGCATTCCTCAAGTCTCCACTTACCTCACAGCCCTCAGTAGCTACATCTCTAAACTCTACTTCTGGTAGCCGAATTTTTGCATTTGAGATCATTAGGTTCTTGTCTCTCCATGCCTGGCTTCTCTGTCCTAAACCTTCTTCTGTACTGTTGCAGAATTTCCATCTTTTAGAAAGCAGAATGGTATTTCACAGTGCACGTTTGTATTACATTCTCTTCACTCATCTGTAGACAGACGGACACACTTGGTTCCATGTCATGGTCCCCAGAATGCATGCTGCAGTAAACATGAAGGTGCAGTTATCTTTTGGACATGTTAATTTCACATCCTTTGGCTATAAACTCAGTAACTGGATAGCTTGATCCCACAGTAAATCTATTAAACTTTTGGGAAACCTTCATATTATTTTCTACATGACTATACTAATGTGCATTCTAAAACAACAGTCTCCAAGGATTCCCCTTTGTCTTTGTCCTCTGACACGTCTGGGTTTCTTTTGGTTTTGATAATACAAATTCTAACCTGAATGAGATAATATATCATGATGGCTTGGATTCCCATTTCCCTGGCAATGGTGTTTTACATTTTCTCAGATACTTGTTGAATATTTTATAGGTCTTCGTTAGTAGATATTTTTATTTTTATGCATGTGTCTGTGCATGTGTGCATATGTTGTGGGACGGTGGTAACGTATATAAGATCAGTATGTTGGAAGCCAGACTGTGTCAGACCCTCAGAAGCTGTCTATAGGCAGCTGTAAACTACTCAGTGTGGGTGCTGGGAACCAAACTAGGGTCCTGTGGAAGTACAAGGAGCCCTCCAAAATTCTGAGTCATCTCTCCAGCCAGCTTTTGGATCTTCTTTTAAGAAATGTCTGTTTAGGTCCAGTTTTGTTCTTACTGTGGAGTTGTTGGAGCTGCTTGTATTGGGAACATTAACCTTTTATAGGATGGACGATTCATAACCATCACATCCTATCTGACGGGTTGCTCACTTACCAGAGACGCCTTAGTTATACGGAAGGATTTTAGTTTAGAGTCATCCTGTTTGTCTGCGCTTTCGGTTTCCTCAAATCCCCATTTACCAGATCAATATCTGGAGGCTCCCCTCTGTGTTTTTGCTCTAGGAATTTTACACTCTCAAGATTAATCCAATTGAGTTGTTTTTATATACTGTATGAGATTTAAAAAAAAAACAACCCACTTTCTTCTGCATATAGATGGTCTATGATCCCAACACTGTTGATTAAGAAGCAGAATCGTCCCACTAGAGAGTCTTGGTACCTTTATAAAATGCCAGTTCACCATCAATGAGTGGATTTACTTTCGGTCACTCTATTCTATTATATTGGTTCATGTGTCTGGTCTCCTGCTGTTTTGATGCCTGTAACAAGGGTGTGGTACCTTTCAGGCCATGTGATGCACTGCCTCCAGCTTTGTTCATTTCCATCGTCAAGATTGCTTTGGCTATGTGGGGCCCCTATGATTCCATGTGAAGGCTAAGTTTCCATTTTTCCAATGGAAAATGTCATTGGAATTTTGGTAGCTTATATTATTGTATGAGTCCTTAAGTTCCTTGGAGTACTAAGTGACCTTAGACAGTGTGACACACTAAGTTAAGTAGCATTGTCTCATTCAGTCTTTTGGGGAATATTTTTAGCTAAGATATAACCTTTCAAGTAGAAATTTGGCTGTGTTATCCTATATCAGAGTTATATAATGTTGTTTAATTCAAGCAGGTGGGCTCTTGTCAGATGACTCAACAGCTGTAGTTTCCAGCCCTCTGTTGACTACTACTGTTGTCCAACAGTGCTTTGTCTGGTCTTAAAGGGAAAGCTTTGTATTTTCTCCATTAAGTACCATGCTGGATATAGAATTTTCTTTAAATGCTCTTTTTTATAAGTTCAAGACATTTTATTTCTACATCAGTAGTAATTTTTTTGTCATAAATTGGTGCTGAATTTTCTTTCTTGGTTTTCTGTATCAACTGATAAAACCATATGCTTTTCCTTTTTTTGTCCTATTGATATGAGTTTATTACTCATATCAAAACGTGAATCAGCCTTTCATTTCTCTGATAAATCACTTGACCACAGTGCGTGTATAGACTGTATGTGTTGTGCGTGTGTATGCTGTATGTGTTGTATGTGTGCTGTATGTGTTGTGCATGCTCTCTGTATTACATGTGTGTGCATGTTTGTGCTATATGTGTGGTATGAATTTCATATGTTGTATGTGTGTGTGCTGTGTATGTGTGTGTTATATGTGTGTGTGTGCTATCTGTGTGTGTGCTGTCTGTGTTGCATGTGTGTGCTATATGTGTGGTGTGTATTTCATGTTGTATGTATGTGTATGCCTCTAGAGGATAGAGATCCATAGAGATTGACATCGGTGCCTCCTCAACCACTCTACCTATTCTTTTTACTTATTATTGGATTTGTTTAATTGATTTTTTTAATTTTAAAATATTTTTATTGAAAAAATAAGCACATGAGAAAATAATGGTTGTTTAATTTTACTAATTGTTAATAATACTAAGAGATATGTGGTCAAACTTCTTTTTGGATATCTGCTAATATATATATTTATAGTTATATACATGCATAAATACATAAATATACACACACACTCCTAACACCTATGCCAGGTGGTTCACAACTGCCTGCAATGCCAGGTGTAAAGAGTATAGTACCCTCCTCTGGCCTCAGTAGTCACTAGCACTCACGTGCATATACACACAGAACATACATATAACTAAAATTAATCAGGGTTGGGGAGATGGCTCAGTGGCTAAGAGAATGTCCTTTTTTTTTTTTTTGAGAAGACCCAAGTTTAGTTCCCAGCACCCTGTGGCAGCTCTAAACTGGCTATAGCTTCTGCTCCAGGGGAAGCCGATGCCCTTTTCTGGACTCCCCAATATTGCACTCATGTACACAAATAGACAGACACTTACATAGATACAGAATCAAAATAAAATCTTTAAGAAAATAAAAGGCTGACATTTAACTAATATCCCCCTCCTGTTTAGTCAAACATGTCTGTACATGTGACTAATAAGCAGACTTAGAAACTAGTCAACTCCAAATTGGACCATAGAAATGATCTCTTCTGGGAATAAAGAGTTGCTTGGTTTGTAGAAGGACTTGTCTTGCTAGTGTGAAGACCTGAGTTCAGATCTCCAGTATCTATATACAAAGCTAGGTATGGCAGTGACCACTCATTATTACAGTGCCAGGGAAAAGAGACAGACAGACAGACAGACACACACACACACACACACACAATATGGCCAGGAAAGTTAATTTTTCTCACACTTATTATGTCTTTTTCACAGTATAGATGTACCTTTATTTTTAATGACTGAAAGTCTCCCTGAAATGTATTTCAAATTAAATGACTTGAAGCTGACTTCTCTGTTTTAGAATCACACAGTTCCTTCTGGTGACCTGTTGATGTTGTCTCCATTCTGGCTACACAGAAATCCAAAGTATTTTCCTGAACCTGAGTCATTCAAACCTGTAAGTTCTCTCTCTCAACATATATTATTTTTTTATCATTTCTATGTTTCTTGCCAAAAAATATGAATGCATAAATTAACCGAATCTGTATCCGCAAGCAGCCATATTTTTCTTGTAACTGTGCCCAGGATTGCTGACGGCGGACCGGTAGGATTTCCAATGTAGATGTCTCAACATTTACAGATCGGATAGAGGAGCGTGGAAAGAGCATCCTTAGAGATGAATTTTTATATAAAACCAGGAAAGAACATTAGAGTCAGTGCCCGTGCTTCTGCTGGAAGCCTTATTTTGTATTCCTTAGGCAACCGTTTCTGTGACTGGTTTCCAAGGAGCCCACAAAATAAAAACACAGCAAATTAAAACAGTGATCTCTTACTTCATATGCTTGGGGGGAGGGGCGCTGAGCAGTCCTAAGAGGTCATCTAGTTCATGCCTGCCTTTCAGTAAGTCTGGGAGCACTGGCACCTAGCTGTATCAATTCCACATCCTGGGGGCTTCCTCCAGCACACAGTTCTGTCAGCGTCTTGTTACTAGATTTATTATTATGAGTAAGTTTATGATAAAGCCCGAGGCCTTTTTATAAATGCTTTCCTCTTCTTACGTTGGCTTCGTAGATGATTTACATTGTGGTTTACATTTGCCACTTAATAGGATCCTTCTTAAGCCTCTTTTTGTTTATAAGTTGACGTTCCAAAACCACAATTGTGTCTGATATTAATAACAGGCTAGGGAAAAAATGGCCCTCAAGTCTGCAGCTTTGTATGCAAGGATTAGCTGTACAGCATCGTTTTCTAGCCAAGAGAAGTAGAGTTAAGCTTATTTATATAAGACTGACTTAAAAAAGCGTTTTTTTCTTCCCACAGGAACGCTGGAAAGAGGCGAATTTAGATAAGTACATTTTCTTGGACTACTTCGTGGCATTTGGAGGCGGGAAGTTCCAGTGTCCTGGAAGGTCAGTGCCACTGCTGAACAGTGTGAGTGCAGAGAGTGTGGAAGAGACAGAGGCTCAGAGGACACTCACCCTCCAGTCCTTTATTATCAAGTTACAGGGAAACCCAGACGGGCAGAGTTTCTTTGTTTGGTCAGTGCTGGCATGGGCTGTCTTTGAGGGAATGTCTGTGGTGACTTCTCTCAGGAGACCTCACAAGAAGACGCTATGCTTGCTGGTGCCAGAGGATATTGGGACTTCCATAGTTCACGAATGGGCAGTCTGAAGCACTACTCACCTGCATGTGCGCATGTATGTCATTGGAGGTGCGTGTGATGCATGTGTGCAGGTGCACATGAACATGTGTGTATGTGGAAAGCCGGTGCAAACTTAGGTGTGATCCTTCAGGTACTTCTCACATTGTCTTTGGGTCATTCACTGGCGTGCAACTGGCCAGGCAGGCTATGCTGGCAGCCCAGTAAGTCCCAGGGATCTGCCCGTGTCCACCTCCTCAGCACCAGGGTTAAAGGTGCATGCCTTACGCCTGAGTTTTCTGGTTTGGTTTGGTGTGTGTGTGTGTTTCTGTCTTTTTGTCTGTCTTTCTGTCTGTCTGGATGTCTCTGTGTTAAAGTAGGTTCTGGGAATCTCCCTAGATGAGTGCATTTGCTGAGCTACAGTATTGTCATAGATGTTTAGGGTGTTGTCCTAAATGTTCCAGGGCCTTGGTGGCTTGTAGGTAGGTAGCAATTGATACTTTGCCTGATTGGTCCTTTATCTGGTTGCTCTGGTCCTGTGAAGCCGTCACCTTGGCACCTTTTATAGTTCAATGTATCTGCATTCAGTCCACTTCCCTCTTCTTGTGCAAGTACACACACACACACACACACACACACACACACAGAGAGAGAGAACATTAGTAAGTGGCATGAACTTTACCAGCCTGCAGGAGGATATACTGGACAATGACATCTTGAAGCAGCCTTTGAGTCCTCAGCTCCGTTCTGCTGGTCATGTTTAATGGATTCTTTGTATTATTTCTCCAACCAGAAAAATAGATGATCCATTTCCTTTCACAATCTGCATTAAATAAGCCCCATGTCTTCATTGAGGGAGACCCACTTGGGGAACTATTGGCATTTAATTGTAGTAATCTCACTCAGTGAAATCATTACAGATCCTTTAAAACACATATAACACACACACACATACACACACACACATTTAACAAGTTATAATTTCTTAATTTAAAAAAGTCAGTTATCTTCATCATTCGAATGGTAATCTCAGTCCGTATTTACAACTGTTATTCTGTAAGCATCTATTCTATTTGTTTTTCCTGTGCATTTTAGAGTATCAGTATGCTTTTAATAGCTTACATCTCTTCCCAATAACTTTAATTTAGTCTTAGCCAACCATGGAAATTTTAACCTCATTTTTACAACTGATTTCAGGGGCCTGAGTCCAAGCAGATTGGTACATAGTGTTTCCCTAGCAACGTATGTTTGTCCTGGAAAAGGTAGTTGACAAAAATTGTCCAATCATATCAAAAGGAGACTTTTATTTACATAATTAGAAGAAGGTGTTCCTTTCACCTCTCACATCCCCATCACATATCACCACAATCATCGACACCACCACCATCATCATCATCATTAACAACAACAACAACAAAGCAGCATGTGTTTAGAGCAGCAATTTTTATGCTACATTGGAGCCTGTGGATAAGAACAGAGATACAGAAAGAGCCCGAGTCTTTGTGATATATGTGTCACAATATGGAAGCATTTTAAAGAGCTTATCTAGTTTCCGTTTTGATAACGAATATCTACATTTTAAAGACAGTTGGAGTTGGGGGTTCCATGTTTAGAACTGGACACATGGTCAGGTATCCACTTCCTTGCGAGAGGTGAGGTGGGTGCTCGTCCATATAGCATATACTCATTTCTGTACTGTATATCTGATCATTTCTATACAATAAATGCATGTCAGCTGTCGCAGGAGGAGTGTTCAAACAGGGCAACAGCAAAAGCAAAACACAGCTCTTCTAGTCTGACTTTTATTATTTCCGTATTAGAAAATAGGTTCGTTAGAGAGAAAAAGATTTATGTTACTTTCAGAATTACGTCTCTGGATGTGTATCTGTGTGCGTGTATGTGCACATGCGTGTGAGTGCCCACAGAGGCCAGAAGAGGGTATTGGAACCCACAGAACTGGTGTTATCAGTAGATGTGACGTGGTCATGGAGGTGCTTGAACTTGTGTCCTTTGCAATAGCACTGTGTTCTCTTGGTTGCTAAGCCATCTCTCTAGCGCCAGGAAAGCAAGTCTTAAACAAACGAGAAGTTCATCATTTTTATCATGTTGTAAGTCATGCTAGGTGCAGTGCTTCTGAAACACTCCATGTTATTCTTTTCAAGTCTTTTTAAATAAACAAATACTGAATAGTGACTTCTTTTTCTCATCATCGTTGGCTTTGGGCATGATATTAAAATCAAGGACTGCAGTATTTACAGCGAAGCATGAGGCATGGGACAGTGGTGGACTATTTCCTGATGAGTATTATTTCCAAGAAGAACAATTACCACCCTCCCTGATAGCTTTTAAGGCATCTCCTTCAGTATGAAGGTAATGGATACAATAAAGAGGACCATGAAACTGTAAGTCAGTCAACCAATATTATCTTACTTGAGCAAAAATTTTACTTTCGGAATGTATTGGGTTCTTCCTATATGCAAAGCAGTATCCTATTTGGATTTGGATATGAGAAAGCCATATCCTCAACTGTCATGAGGTGAACACTTTGTGTTGACAAGGAGTGGACATGGGATTCATAAATTGCCTCAAGGAATGGAGAACAGCAATGTCTGATATGGTACTGAGGATTCAGAATAGTTGTTGTAACTGTTTAGGCGGATGTTGCTGATCTCACAGGAAAAGCGTCCTTTGAAGGAAACATAGAACTTTTTATAGGTTAAGAAAGCCAAACGAGCAAAAGGGATATTCACACAGAGAAGCTCTGAGCTTAAGTTTTACTGACGTTGGATCGGGATGGGCTAAGGAGAAAGGTTGTCTGTGAACGTTGGCTTGGTGTCCTGGCTTATCTTGGTTGTCAACTTACACATCTGGGGAGTCAGTCCTCAAAGAGGAATCACCTCCATCAGATTGTCCTATGCATGTCTGAAGGCTTTTTTTTTGTGATTGCTGATCAATATGGGAAGGCCCAGTCTGCTGTTGGCTGTGCTTTCCCTAAGCAGATGGGTCTGGGCCATGTAAGCAAGGTAGCTGAACAAGCCATGGGGGAGCAAGCCAGCAAGCAGTATTTCTTTATGGTCTCTGCTTCAGTTTCTGCCTCTAGGTTCCATTCCTTGAGAACCTGCCTTCACATCCATCGCTCAACGATTGAGTATAATCTGTAGGATGAATTAAGCTCCTTTCCAAGTTGCCTCTGAAATTCAAAATTAGGATGCTTTGAATATAAATGGCTGTCATAGATGGTGAACATAGCTAAATTAGGCGCAGGAAGAAGTTTGGAGGTGAGAAATTAAGCATTTCCTTTTGGAATTCTGACCATAAAATGCAGCAAAATATATAATTATAGTAAAATATAACCAGATGTCATAGGTTGAGCACAAATGTTGACTATGCCTTACCTGTTTTTAAAAATCTCATTAATTCTAGTTTTCTACTAAGTTTCTGTTTCAAAAATCTCTTTTTTCCCCTTGTCCCTTATTTTAAACAAGCAACTCGTGAAACATTTTGTTTTTAAATTGTTCAGACAAGCAAATGACTTCATTTGGGCAACAGTACACCAAGAGAGCTTTCTACTGGAAATTTAATCCTATGAATCCTTCATATAAACACCAGCAAATGACACCCATTCCTAATTGGTATAGCAGGGGCCAACTTATTTTCTCATGCACAAAATACTCAGTGAGTCAAAGACAGTTGCCTGCAATGCAGCTGACCATCAAAGTTCATCATAATCACATACTCTTATGGTCTTGCAACTGTTGTTTCCTGGAGTATATGCCACTGGCAGCGGGGTGGGGTCCCAAGAGAGTAACAGAAATTTCTGGGTAAACAGAAAATTTTGCTGATATATTTGGTACAGCCATCAGCAACTAACAGAAACAATGACAGAGCTGCAGCACCTCTTTGAAGAAGTGGGAGTTCTAAAGGGATTTGCAGAGGAGCCCATTTCTATGCACTCTTCTATTGCATCATGGGAAAAAAAAGGAAATGAAGTGTCTGTCATATAACCAGACTCTACAGGTTGAACACAATTGTTGACTATGTCTGACTTTTTTTTTAAATCACTAGTTAAAAATTTCACTTAATTCTGTTACTAATAAAGTCCAGGCTTTCATACATGAACATGCAGGAGTAAGCAGTGTGAGCTATCAAATTTCTGTAGAAATAGTAAGATGCAAAATGGAGAGCCCCAGCATTGTAGTCAGGCTCATCTTGAGCTAGCAGATTCAAGTGGAAGAGAAAGATGGGATTATTTGTTGAGAATTTGTCTTGCATGGGACTCTCTGAGAGCTGGTGATCTTACAAGGGGACATGCTTTCTCTATTTGCTTCACTGGATGTCCATCAGAAGCTGGCTTTACTTGGTCCCCACATTTACAAGAGGATATCTGCTTGGCTGTACAAAGTGATATGTATAAAATTCCAGGGTAAATCTGGGGCTGGAGACTTGGCTAAGCAGTTAAGAGTGCTTCCTGTTCTTGCAGAGGACATGGGTCTAGTTTCCAGCACCCACCACAGGTAGTTCACAATTGCCCATAACCAGGTTTTCTAAAATCTCGGCCTCTAAGAGCACCTGTACACATGTGGCTCATGTAAACTCATGAAGATACACATACACACAAACAAATGCTTTTAAAGACGCTGATCTTTAGCAAGAAATACTTAATGTGATAATAGCAAGACTTCAGAATTTGAAATATATATATATATATATACATATACATATACATATACATATATATATAAATTCATCTTTCAAGAATGGGAACTGGTT